AAAATACTAAAATAACGCGTAGTAATCCGAAAATATTAGTTTCATTAAAATGAATACTCGTGGAAATCATCTCAATATAAACTTCTTTGTGAATTGCCATATTAAAAAGGGACCAGTTTGAGTAGTAAAATTATATTAATAAAAACGATAAAAGCTCAATTATACTTTTTATTCAAAGAAACGCAATATCATGGTAAATAAAGAAAGTAATATTTAAATTAAATTGCAGTCGCCAAAGATTTGTTATTTTGTCAGATTTTCAACATCATACTTTGGATAAAAATAAAACCTCTTATAGTCTAATATTTATAATGTTATGAGCAAACTATAGCGTAGAGGATTTCGTATAAATCCATTGTATTTTGAGATAAGTTTTAAATATAGGACTAAAATGTGAAGTAACTAATTTAAGCAGATGATACCTTTACAAGGCGATTGTCATAGATACTAATGTAAAATTCATTTAGAGACGTAAACTAAAACTAAAAATCTTGACGCTCTGAATAATTCAACTATCTTCTGTATCCATTCTTATATGTAATTCAATGAATGTTGATGAAACAAAATTTTTAATAAAGATTATCACTATTGTTTACATTATAAAACGAAATTGATTTTGAAAATAATTTTAAGAGAATAAAGTATATATTTTAGGTAATGTATTGTAGTTTTATAGTAATATACGAGAACAAATCACAACTAGAACATTATAAGGTTCAGACTGTTTATATATATATATATATATATCAATGATTGTTATACAATATTAAAAACAGCTGATAAAATGTAAAATAAAGTAATACGAGCCGTAGTATTTGGAAAGTCATTTAAACAAGATGAATAATATACTTAATGATTATTTTAGTAACAGATATTTGGAACCAGATTTCAAAACTTGATTAGCTGTATTATCTATTATATCAGATATTTTAGTCTCGTTTTAGTTTCAATTATAATGGAAAAATCTAGACATGTAACCAACAGTCCTTGTGATATTGAGAATGGTACAAATAACACTGTATTATTTTATATAAACAAAGATATATTAAAAGATGTAGTTATAAAATAAGTAATCAATATTTATCCTTTTTTATAATAACCTTTTTTACCCAAACTAGAAACCTATGGAATAAAATAGTTGTGAGTTCACTTTGTTTGTTGGTATTCTTAAACTTCATTATACATTCGAATCTAATATAATATTTACAATACATTATCTGATTGAAAAGTAATTTAAAAATGTTATCGGAACCCTTAGAGGTTTTGAAGAAATCATTTATTACATAAAATTAACTCAAGCCTAATTAGTGTTGACTTCAGATATTAAAACTTCTAAGATAGAATTTCTGTGTTACAAGTGGCGCCATCTGTGCCGTACTAATTATAACATACTTTAGTACTTAAAATTATTTTTGTGTCAGATTTTAATGAATAATAAATTAATGAACCTGTGGATATGGCCGTAATGAAATTGTGGTAACCTGATACTCAATTTAAGTTTAAACCACATAAATGACATAACTACATTGAAAACAATATTTTTAATGATTTCTAATTATTTATAATACCTATTGAACCTATGTTAATTTTGTAACGGCAACGCTTGGTTATCAAGTTGTTTAACAAATAGAATTAACAATAGAATATTACTATTACTAGAATAAAGCCCTTACATTAAGAATCAAGTCTGAGACTGTACCTCGAACATAAGATAAAGGCCGTAAGCTGTGTCAATGATAAAGGTTGACTGTTTGTACGACCCTTGTCGTGTGTTATCAATTGTTAATATAGAATTAAACATTCATATTATTAACTCTGACACAATAAAAAGAACATCAACAAAATTATTGTTGTAGGTTTAGTCTTATTCAACAGTTATGTGAAATTGTACACAGAAAAGGGTCTCTTATAATTTGACTATAATAATATATACATTAGTTTTAAAATATCAGAACAGCATTCGTGAATAATATAAAAAAATAAAATTAGAGCTTATATGTATAGTTACAAAATAGATTTTTATTCACACAGTTTAATTTCTAATTCTTCTTTATTTTAAATACAATGTGACGATATATTAATAGTTCCTTGTAGTTATGAACATATTATTTTATCAATTCTCGTGATGCGGTCTAGATTCCAATTGAACCGTAATAGAGTTACTTTTCCTTGAAGCACCGTGCTCGCTAACATAGTTAGTGGTGTTGCTGTATACTGTAATTATAAAAATTAGATTGTTACAAGTAGAAGAATATTTTGAGAATATTGTTGACTGTAGCATGAATTCTAGGCCATTTATTTCTAATTCAAACCAAATTTGAAGGTGCATGGATTCTCTAACATCACTAAAATAATGCCAAGTAAATCATCTTGTCATTAACATCTATTCTTTGTAGTGAATGATTAAACAATGATGCAAAATAATTAATTTCAATAGTTTAAATTAATAACATGAAATACCTATTACAACAATTATAACACGCAACATTAATTAAATCTGTTCATTACAAAGGGGATTATCTAGTCGAGGATATAGATATTATCATGACTCTAGTTATAAAATCTACATAAAGATATAGTTATAAACTTAAATATAGTAGAATTTAATAATTATCATTTAGTAAAGGATATTTTATGTCTATAATAACTTATGACGAGAAAATTTCAAAGCAAATTGAAGCAACCATTACTACATCATAATATCGTGTTACAAAGACAAATACGACTGTGAACTGCTATCTTTTGCTTAATTGAATAAACATATTAGGAATATTATCTCAAAACGTTTTCAATGACAAAGTAAAAATTACACCATAACTTCATGTATGACTTATAATGAGTATACTATAATTATAGTAATTGTCTGTAATCTGTTACTTTAGTGAGTCAAGTTTCATGACATGTTTTCAGATGACATCAATTATAAAAAATATTTTTATTTACATGTCTCCAAATCTGTCAGTGTCGATAACTACGAGCCCCTCGATATTCATGTCATTAACAATAATTTATAATCGTTTATTACAATTTTGTTCAGATTTAATTTATGTAGCTTGAAATTTGATTGATCTTTATAAATCAACTAGCTGCCTGGCGGACTTCGTACTGCCCTATAATGAAGAAATATCCTTAACCTTTTTATCTGAATGAAGTAAATTTCCTTATTCCTCAATGGAGTTTTGCCTGGTTCAACCTGAAAAACATTAATCACTCAGTTTCCACTTTTACATACATATCAACAGCATATTGGTGACAGAGACGCTAACATATTATTAAGATGTGATTGACCTCACCTTCTCGAACCATAAGCCTGTATGAATAATAATTAATTGAATTAACTTTTCTGTTAGTTTCAGAACCTTAAAACATTTTATTGTGATAAAATTATTATTAAAGCTATGATATACATTAAAAACTTAAATTTTTTATTTACCTGTAACTGGATTTATCATCTTCATTAAAAATAATACCCATCTTCACCTTTCCAAAATAAGATAAAATATATTTATACTATATATAAAATATATTTATAATTGGAATGAGAATCATGTACCGAGTATTCTCCTTAAATATTGATAGTAATTCACCAGTCACCCTGTATAAGTTCGATGTGTTTCGGACACACGCTGCAGTTGATTGTTACACCGGTGTAAAACAATATTGCAGTTATCCACATTTTCAACCACAATGACAATAGCGACTTCATCAATTCTTTGGGCATTAAAATGTCTTATGTGTTTGATAACAATTTTATGATTATCAGATGGCATGTGATCTAATGCGGTCTTGAATAATGCAACCAATAGGTTATGTCGATGGAATAACAATTGGAACTGTTCCACAACTGGTCTTTTCACAGAATAGTTGTGTGCACAACGCTGATCAACTTGTCTTCCTGAATCGCCCATGAAATTAATTTGGAAAAATTTATAGTCACTGACTGGCACTGGTGATAACTAATAAGTTCAATGATATAATTGTCCTCGAATCTGCAAAGATAAACATTCCTGTATTACATATACATATTTTAAAGTGAATTGTTCAAACCACAAAGTGACACTCAAAATACTTTGTGAGCACTACCATTTCCCCCATCAAAGTTTTTAACACAATTCCTTCTGGCTACTAAAAGTAATTCACAGAGCTACAAATGTACTTTAAGCCATTTCAAATGATACACCATTACAATTGAAAACTGTCAACAATAGTGGTAAATGTTTTTCAATACACTTACCTTAAAAGTTGGCATAAAATTTATTGTAGCTACTGTAGTCCATTTCTTTGTTATAATCTAATGTAGCTTTATAGGGATTAAAAGCAACGCTTCTATATTGTTGGTTTCGGTTCCATCGATTTCGTTCACCTTCATTCCGCGTTTCACGTTGCTCATCAGTTAGACTTGGTCTTATATTTCTTTGACTTGAGGCATTACGGGTTCTGCGACTTAAGTTTGTACGTCTAATTGCCGGCATGTTTTGAAACAAAAATTCAACTGAAAATAAAAAATAGTATTAGTCTATTCCTATTCTTTTGTAATAGTATCAAAATGGTCTATCAAACCTTTCCAACACTATAACAATTTGACTTACCTTGTTGAACAAACACACAGTACAAATTATCCTGTAGAAACCAATGTGAAAATTACACAAAGAAATGGTAAATGTAGGTATTTTTTTATTATAACTCCTGCCACAAATAGTAAAACTCAATATGTACTCGTACAAAACAACTCAAAAAAAGTTTACTGTTTGCAAACAATTTGAAAGAATAACTGAACTTTTAAGACAGAGACAATAGTTTATCATAGACTGTTGATAAAATATCGATATATTGAAATATCGATATTAATTTTTAGTAATATCGATATTTATTACTAATATTATTTTGGGCGATATATCGATACTTCGATATTGAAATATGAATATCGACGGTCGATATTTTTTAAAAATAAGTTTTCTTTATCTATGGTCTGTCTCTGTACTACTCTGTAGTCCACGATTTTGCACGATTTAGTTACGCTTCTTGGTCTATTTAAAATAGTAACAGAAGATTTGAGTGCTGAGAAATATGTCACAGCTAGCTTAGTAATACCATTAACAAATTTATTAAAACAAGAAATCAAACAAACTAAAATATCTACAGCTATTGGTTTGTCAGTACTAAATGATTTATTGAAGGGTATTGAAGATAGATTAGTACCTTTACAAGAAAACCTTATTTTGGCCAAAGCAACTATCTTAGATCCCCGCTTTAAAAAGTTACATGTCATGTCAGCAATGGCCGCTGCTAATGCAATAACAGATCTATCAAAAGAAATAATTTCAGAACACAAAATAAGAGGGAATCGTTCACCTACAGTTGGTGTTTCTCCACGTGTAGAAAAAGAAACAACTTCATTGTTATGGGACAGACATGAAGATATGCTCTTGAAAAATATGTTCAATGCTAGTGAAGTTTTTGGTAAAAGTTTTAGTGCAATCCCTGCTGAATTAAAACAGTGTTTAGATCAGCCAAATATTTTAAGGTCATCAAATGCACTAAAATTTTGGATAGATAGTAGACATTTTACTCCTGTTTTATCAGAAATAGCTGCTAAATATTTGATTTCATCTGCTACATCTGTAGCATCTGAACGAATTGCTTCTACAATCAATCTTTTAGTGCCTAATAATTGTAGCAGCCAAATAGCTGAACATAAAAAACGAGTGTTTTTGAAAACTCTTACTGAGAAATATTGGTATGCATAGTTGTTTAATAAAAAAATTAGTTGTTTGTAAAGTAGGTTTACGATCGAGATGTTCACGTGATAACGTCTTATTGGTGATATAAGTTTTTGGGAAGTAAGGAATTAATGAAGATAACAATTTTTTCAAATTTTAAATTACATCTATCGTTTTATTCACACTTTTGATGATAAATTTCGGGTGTAAAATGACAAGTTTACTTATTCGACTATGATATACATAGAGAGAGGGACGGACCGATCTCCCGTCTCATCTCGAGCGCTGCCAGTCATTTCGTGAAACTTGTCACGCGGAATCCTCACGAGCGGATTTAAACTACAAACACAATACTGGCTTGTCACAAGAAATTAACTATTTTAAATATAAAACTATTAAAAATATTGATTTGTAGTACATATTATGTATGTGTAAAAAAGATTTCCCGCTTTTCTGTTGAAATTTTTCCTGATTTTTTTGCTTTAAACCTCACGGAACCTGAGACCTTTCAATGAATGCAAAACCGTGGAAATCGGTTCGTGCGTTCTGGAGCTATAAGCGTCAGGGAGGATAACAAGACTTATTTTTATATATATAGTAGAAGTAGATTTCTTACAAATGTCAAATTGTCATCCATACGTCATTACATATCTGTGATTATACGTCAATTACAAAGCTGTCATTTGCGTTTTGTTATTCTTTTTTGTTATACCACGTTTTATAGTGACTGACGTCTCATGTCAAGTCACACGGGAATGCTGTCGAACGGGATAAAAAGTATTCTACATATATTCTTTTCCTGGCTCTAAACTACCTCCCTGCCAATTTTCAGCTAAATCAGTTCAGCCGTTCTTTAGTTATAAGTGGTGTAACTAACACGACTTTTTTTAAAATATATAGATATGGCATTAATTGAAATAAAATAATAAATAAAATATGAAATTAGAAAGTCTTAGTTTGTAAACTTATTAGATCGACAAAGCTCCATCTAAATATTGTAGCAAGGGTTCGGTGGTTCTTGAAATGAAATAAAATTTTAATTTATTAATTTCTTGGATGGAATTCGTTAGGATTATTTATTTTCAATATAAATAAAATTATATATTACATCATTGTTATTTACTATATGTCGTATTTGATGAGCAAATTTTGTTTGTATTTTTTGATTCAATTAACAAAATGTTTTTTTATGAAACTCGGACATAATTCACTTTAATTATTACCTCTTTCACCATTGAAAGGAAATTAAAAAAATGTTATCTTCTATTGCATATAAAAAATTTAAGGTTGGAAAAATAATATGTTATACATACACACATTGTCAATAAGAACATCAATTAAAAGAAAAACAGTAAATCTTAACAAAAATGTCTTACACAGATTAACAGTTTAGAAGAATTTCTTAGAATAACGTCTTTAATAACATAAGTTTTGCCAAAACTAACAGTATTACAATATCAACATGTGTTGTTGAGTTTAATTTGCACTATAGGTGTGTTATTTCTAGGGTAAAGGAGATGAGTACTGAAGAGTTGAGAATAATATTCCGCAAGTAAGATGACTAGGACCAGGTCTTATCGTAAATCCTGAGGTCCTTTTGAATTATATTATATTATTTTACCATTACATATTTGTCATTAATAAATTTTATAAAATATGTACGGGCAAATACGCTAACTTAAAATTTTGGAAACTCAACTATTTAAGTTAAAAGCATCTCATACAATAACTGACAAGGTAATTTATTTATATTGTTCTCTTATTGTAAGTAAGTTTCTCTAAGTATTGTCATTAAAACAACTTTTGTCAGCTTTAAGTAAATTCTAGAGGAAGGTGACGTGGACAGTTGAAAGTTGAAGTTGAAAAAGATGAAAGTTGTTGAAATGACATTTCTTTAAAACTTAAGCGTCTTAATGGTCTATAGATAGATGGATGGTATAAATGGTCTGGTACAATATAGACTCTATATGAACTTTGTTAAAATGATAAGATTGTTTTTATATGAGGTTGATGTTCTGCGTTATAGGGAGTGTAAGACGCTATTTCTGTTTTTGACACAGATATATCTCGCGTATAAGTCGTACACAGCCAGGTTACACTTTTGGGTATAACTGACAGTCACTTCAAGGAATGTGTGTTTCTTCAATGCTGTCTACTGTCAGTGTCTCCATCACTTGGAAGGCTCAGAAATTTTTCGCCACAGGCTGCAATAAATAACATATAAATAACAAATTAAACAACTTCAACTAGGTTTAACTTACTGAGTAAACAAACTAACAGGTAGTTTCAGAAAGACTATACAGCGTGATGATAAAACTTTATATAGAATAATTTATTTGTTCGATAATAAAAATACATATTTGAAGGCGGTTCAAAATAGACAATAACATACGGTTAGTCAACCAACCAAGATGCAAATGTGTTACTTCAGTGTTACTAAACGTAATTGAATCTTGGACTTCAAGAGGAAAAATAATCGATAAAGTTTTTTTATTTAAGGTGGTTTTTATATTATATATACTCTTTATTGCACAGAATATTTAACAAAGGTTATTTTCTAAACATAAATTATTGTGTACAAAGGCGGGCTTATTTCTAAGAGAAATCTCTTCCAGCCAACCCACAGCAGTAAGAGTTAGTGTGTTTAGCAGGTAAAAAAGTTGTGCAATTTGATGCTCTTAATAATATAATATGTAAAAAAAAAAAAAAAATCAATTTCAATAAAACACATGATATAATAAATACTATAATAATATAATAAATACATACATACCCATACTACATCTAAATACATAAATATTATATATATATATTACAGATAAATATTATATATATATATGTATATACAACAGTGAATAAATAAATAAATATATAAGTTAATTTGAAAAATTTATAATAGTTGTGACAGAAAGTGCTCTTTTAGTCTTTTTTTAAACAGGTTAACGTTAGGACTCTTTTGGATGGTTTTTGGGAGATTGTTCCAGAGGTTCGCTGCACGTACCGAAAAAGAGTTATGCAGAAACTTTGTATTACTTCTAGGCACTTCTAACTCTGAAGTAATACAGGAACGTCTGGAACGTGTTGGAGGCGGGAGAAGGTTGAAACGGGAGCGAAGGTAAGAAGGAGAATTTGGATCATTAAGGATATTAAAAAGGACCGAAAGGATGTGCATATCACGGCGAAGGCGGATAGGGAGCCATTTAAGTTGAGTACGAAATGCAGATATATGGTCATATTTACGTAGGCCGTAAATAAACCGAATAGCCAGGTTTTGAAGACGCTCTAGTTTATTAAGTAGCTCCTCAGTCACATCCAAATAGCACACAGCGTATCAGCGTAGTCGAGGATCGGTAGAAGAAGAGATTGCGCTAGCATAATTTTTGTGCTGAAAGGGAGAAAGTATTGGAGACGTTTGAGAGAGTGGCAAGTGTAGTGTATCCGCTTGCTGACATCATTGACTTGGGCTACCCAGGACATATTGCAGTCAATAATAAGTCCCAAGTTCCTTACTGAATCGCAGTAAGAAATTGGAACCCCGTCATAAACTAGTTTGGGAACTAGCCCCCAGTCTAGTTTGCTTCTGAGCCTGCTGCTGCCAACAATTATTGCTTGTGATTTAATGGGATTCACAAGAAGGCCAAACGATTTAGCCCACGACTGTATAGCAGACAGGTCCATATTTAACAAATCAATAGCCCCGGGCAGCTCAGCCAGACTGAAATGTCGATAAAGCTGTAAATCATCTGCATACAGATGGAAGGGAGAAGTAATAAATCGGGAAATGTTATTAATAAAAACAGAAAACAGTAATGGAGAAAGTACGCCGCCTTGAGGAACACCAGCCGTGAGCTCTAACCAATTTGACGAGGTATCGTCGGTTTTTACACACTGCTGGCGTCCGAAAAGGTACGAATGAAACCAGTTAATAACAAGAGGAGAGACGTTGACTGCACGAAGAGTACCAAGAAGTATGTCAAAATCAACGGAGTTGAAGGCACTGCTGAAATCCAACAGAGCAATTGCAGTGAGCTTGGTGTTATCCATAGCACACCGCACATCCTCCGTTATCTTCAGCAAAGCACCAACAGTGCTGTGGGATGAACGAAAACCGGATTGGAAAGGACATAACAGGTTGTAAGTTGTAAGGAAGGAGTAAAGTTGATCGTGTACAATGGACTCAATGACCTTAGAAAGGATAGGGAGGATAGATATAGGATATAATTACAACAATAATAATAATATATTATTGTTGTAATTAATAAGTAAAATATGCTCTCTTAAGATATTTTCTCTTATAACCAGACTTTCATAGTTTTAATAGTGAATCTATTCAAACACTTCTTTAATCTGTGAATTATTGAAACATTAAAATGGAGTAACTTGGGAGAAAACAAACTCATTCTCACTATTGTTTAGATTTAATAAACTTCATCCATTAAAAGTCGTTTTATCGTCATCTAAAACTTAAATATTCATTGAATATTTAACAATACAAATTAGTATTTGCTATTTATTGTCAATAATTAAACAGTTTTTAATAAATATCGTACGAATTTTGAAGTTGAAAAGTAAATAAACAATTATTAAAACTAAAAAAATTAAAAGTCAGTGGTATTCGCTTGGAGTTTTAAGTTGATATAGGATACACAAAACTCATTGTTTTATCTTTTTTAAAAATAACATAAATTATATAATAATCGTATTACACATAAGTTATAATGATAAATAATATGAAGGAGAACAAACAATCACAGAGTGGATAATGATGTTTGTATAGAACATACCGTTAGCTCACTTTAAATAACACTGATCACATATAATATATACTGTATAGAAATATCTCATTAATGATAAATAATATAATGAGTCAATCTTAAAAATTAATCGTCAAGAAATAGTATAGAACTTTTGTTGTTAGATCTATTTTTCAGGTGATATGATCGATAACTTTTATTGAAATTGTGATTTAACGAAAAAAACTTGGTGTTTCGTAAGTATTTTGAAAAAAAAAACCACAGAAAATTGCA